ACTGCAGTTTATTACAGAATCATAGTAACAGTAGTTACATCATCATCCTGAGTAAATTGAATAAATGTGGATCTCAAAAGGAAAAATATTAAAGAAAGTAAAGAATAAAATGGATGTAAATGGAACCTGGTGATGCCATTAGAAATACTAGGTGAGAATGAATGACATGTTTACAAGGCAACTGGCCATTAGGTAAAAAAATATGCAAAATAAAATCTATTTACACTAAATACACCCCCCAGCTCTCAGTCATATACAGTTCGTCGGTCAGCGAGCTGCAGCCTGAGCTGCGGCCTGAGCTGCCTCGTTCCTCAGTAGTGCAGAGTTCACAGAAAACCACAAGAAAAAAAAAAAAAAAAAAAAGCAGCACAATCATCATGGAGCCGCAGGTGACACGTCCACTCAGTCCACTCAGTCTTTGGCGGTTTGATCTTTGGATCCATTAGGAGGATCCTGTTCAGTGGCATATTGTCACTCTGGTGCTTTTCCCTGACGGGGGGGAGCAAAGTCTGCTCTCAGATTTGAGTCCGCACCATTACGATCCAAAATAGCCTGCTGAACAGACGAGCCGGTCTTCACACAGAACTCCTCTGCTGCAATCTCACCCTCACCTTGCTGTGCTTTCTGAAAAGGGGAATGAGTGTTAATGCTTGAGCGGCTGCAGTAAAGTTTAATATGAAGTGTAAAAACTGATTTCCTCTGATGTGCTGGGATACAAAGTTCAGACCTGACACCAACAGGCAGGTGAACAAATAAGCAGTTTGCAGCATCGCTGGGTCAACAACACTGAATTAAAGCTCTGGTAACATGGAGTTGGGCTTGTGTGTGTTGTTTACCGTTGTGGCGGCGACACCATGCACTTCCACAGGACGGCATAGAGAGCAAGTAAAAGAGTGATGAACACAGTGGCTGCAATCGCACCTAAAGGCACAAAACATGAAATAATTTGCATTTTGAAATAGAACTTCATACACGTGACCTGATGAGAACCTCTGGGCTTCTGGAGAAATAATTTGTTTACCTGGTGATTTGATTGAAGCAGTTACCTCCCCAGAAAAAAAAAAGTTTTGTGTATATTCATGATCCACATTTCCATATCCATCTATTCAGTTCTTTAGAAATGTCTTCCTTCTTTGTAAAAGCCACTTTGCAGAGTTCTGCAGACCTGATTCATTTCACTGGCCAAACGTCTACTCTGGGTCTGGTTATATTTTAAAAACACAAAACATCCATACACACAATTTCTTCCTGACCAGGAATAAGTTGTGTTTCAGCTCTGGGCCGTAGACAGTTAGCAGCAGATCGGGTCGAAGAAGTGTACGGTTTAACGAGATTGCTCTCACAGTGCAACACTAGACACACACAACCAGCTACACCCCCCCCACCCCCACGCAAACAGAGACACAGAAACGTGGGGGACCTGGGGTCAAGGTTCAACTACAAAGAGTCTCTATAGTATGATTAGTGGGAAACAGGCTGTGTAGGTCACCAGAACACTGCATATTTAAATACACAGAAGAGTGAGTTATGGAAGTGTGATATTTCTGACTGACTGAGTATTTTTGGAAAACCTTTCTCTCGGCCAACGAAAACAGCCCCCCAAGAAATCGGATCAAAATCAAAAGGGCCTCTTTTGCTTTGCAGTCGTGCTCCATAAACACCCGCCAAGTCAAATGTTTTAAAACTCGGGCCGACTGTTGGTGGTGTAACACGATTCCTGTTTATTTGTGAGTCTCCACTTTTGAGGGAAATAGGCGGCCTTTGTTCGCTGTGGACCGAAGGTGGAACGTCTGACTAATCAGGTGTTTTTCTCTGAGAGCGGGCCTGGGTCTGTAAAGACATCAGACTGTGCTGCTCACCGGGGATGATCCCACTGCTGCTGGTTACAGAGTCCTCTGTGAAGGAGGGAAGAGTGACCGCTGCAGCTGAACCTTCATGACGAGGGGAAAAACAGAAAAACAGAAAAACACAATGCTGATATAAAAGGTTGCGTGTGTGTGTGTGTGTGTGTGCGTGTGCGTGTGCGTGTGTTATATTGACCTTTGCAATTGAGTCATTAATGAGAATTGAATTTAAATGTCGGCTGGGATTGCGTCCAGCTCTCCCCTCACGACCCTCAAAGGATAAGCGCCATCATGGATGGATTCAAAATGTCTGTGAGTCAAAGAGCTAATGATCAAGGAGGTATTTCAATGACTCACTATTAAAAAGTATTTACATAAACTATCCTGAATGATGAATCCTTAAATATGTGGATATGGGTACTGCTCTTTTATCCAAACTGTTTCTCAGGCGTGTTGTTTGCAGTGTTTGTTGGGACTGGGGGCAGTTGTTGATTCAAATGTGTGGTCATTCTGAATATTACACTTTGGTTCAGGTTTTTTTTTTCCTGCAGTGTAACTACTCTCTCAGGAGCATGTCTGTTATGATCATCTGTAGATTTCTAGTTGCAGGAAGAACCCATTAGTTCTGATCTCATGTTCAATCAGTACCTTCCTTCTCTGATAAACTAATTGCCCCAAACGAGGAGGTTATGCTTTCAGCCCTGTCTGTTAGTTTTGGTTTTCAGCAGAATTATCTTTAACATTGAGAGATCCTGGAGGAACAATATTCCTTTTTAACCCTTTATTCCTCTTTGTTTCATATCTATTGTTTTTGCTGTTGTGTGGTTTATTCCATCTTTTTTTCTGCGTTATTTAAATTACCTGGATTTATTTGCCTCAGCCCTGAAATGTCCTGATCCCTGTTTATTCACGTAAAGCATTTTGTAAGTTGAAGTGCTGCATAAATTAGGTTTATTATTATTATGATGACACATTCTTACCAGGATTAAAAAACACACAATACCAACTTCAAATTTCAAACGACACTAGATTCATTATGATCCTCCTGACAGAATCAACATCCTGAAGTTCCCTGATCTTCTTCTGAGCTTCTGACTAGAATTCGAGAAGGAGATTGAAGAGATAAAGTTCCTCACCGTTTCTCTGCTGAACTGCCTGGAAAAGCTGTCCTGTGAGATCTGGGTCGACCATCTGAAAACATGCAGCAAACACAATCATGTCTGCACAAACAGAAGTAGGAGCACAAGAGGAGCACAGGAGGAGCACAAGAGGAGCACCGAGAGGACAGGACAGCTCAGGTGAAACACAACTTGTGCAGGTGAAAATCAAACACCTCTGATGTAGACATCAGTTTGGAGGGGGGGAAGGGAAAAAGAGAAGTCGTGCTGTTTGCTGCAGAGAAAGAAAAGTTTCTGCAGGAAGTTCAAACAAGTGGAAAACCAGAGCGACAGGAGCAGAGATAAGAGAATGCAGGAGAGAGGCACACGTTTCCTAGAGGAGACAACACCTCCAGACTGCAGCAGGTTGGTGAGAAGTGACCGCAGCGTGTGAACAACAGAAAAGTTTGAATCCCTCTGAGGATCACGACGCGTCTGCTCCGCTGCCTTCCTCACCTTCGAGCTGTTTGTGTCTGCGGTGGTTACACTTTCACTCCGGTTCTTCTCCTCCGTCCACATTGTTGCTTTCTGTCTTCATCCGCTTCTCACGTTGTTTTCCTCTCAGCTGTGCTGCGTTCAGGTGCCTCTGTCAGATCGCGTACTTTACAGTCTCTCACAGGGGCGGATATAGGATGTTTTCTGAATCCGGGTGGGGTGAACATTAAAGTCATTTATCGTTTAGCTCTATAGTTTTGATGTGTAATAACTTATGCATACAAATTCTTATAGAGTTTACAGTTGTCACGACATGAGGGATGTGTGTGTGTGTGCGAACATGAATGAGGATCACAGAGGACATTAGGGCTGAAAACATGATGCAAATGAAATAGCTTCGAGTCGAATTTCAATGTCTAGGCTTACGTACATTTGGATGACACCACAGCAGCAGTATGGTGGAATTTAATGTTCTTTTTCCTGTTGTTTTTTTTACATTTGAAGACATGGTCACCAGATACTTCAATTTTATTGGATTTGGCTTCAACTCTGTTCACCCCTGAAACTCCAAAAGTGTTTTGTGGACTCAAACACTTCACCCGCTCCTCCACCAGCACAGTGGTGAGTAGATAATGAGTGAATTTTTCATTTCTGGGTAATCTATCCCTTTAAAGGTCCAGTGTGTAAGATTCAGGTGAAAGGGAACTATTGGCAGAAATCTAATGTAGAATAATCCTCATGATGTTTTCACTAGTTCGTTTCATCTAAATTGTATGAATTGTAGTTTTCTTTACCCCAGAAAAGACCCTTTATATTTAAATGCTTCATATTTACATGGAGGGGACCCTCTCTACGGAGACCGCCATGTTTTTTACATTAGTCCAGACTGGACAAACTAAACACCTTTTGAGTTTTTATGACAACTGAAGACTACCACAGGTTCTTTTTCATATTTGGAAGGAGAGGGTGAGGTGTTCAGCTGCAACATGCAATTTCAACACTAAATATTACAAAATTCTACACACTGTACCTTTAAGTGGCTGGTTTATTTTTTTTAAGTACTGGAAGAACAGGGGCACTTCAGGGACCAATCAGATTTCAGCTGGGGT